CAAAAATTTATGAGACTAATGTTTCATGTTTCGAAGCTTACGTTTTTCTATATTGTATTAAAAGTCTCATCTCGCTCCCTCCACCTTTTAAATCAATTGTTATAACTATTCATTATCGTTAATTAAGAGGTCGATTCAAGTCTTTAGAATAAAATCAAATTTGATAATAAATATTTTATCTCAAATGGAAATTGTCTGACACAAATCCAAATACTTATACTCTATTTGAATGATAAGATCTTGTTTCTTTCCAAACATTTCACTTTCACCTCTATGATAAAATAAATTAATTTCAAAGAAGATTAATGACACTTGATGAAGAAATGAATTTTCAATTTCAAAAACCAAAAAAATCGACATCGACTTTTCTATAGAGACAAATGAATAAGTTAAACAAAGAACTCTATCTATTTCATATTTAAATATTTAAATAAAAACATACAAAAGATATTGTAAATTATTACTATTTGGTCAGGTGCCTATACTTAATTATTTAATTAATAATGTAATTATCCCAAGAATAATGTAAGTTGGTCTCCTTGTGATGAGGTAGAGACAATAAAATGGGATTGTAGGTGTAAAGATTGTTTATTATAATATAATGTTTGTTATTAATATTACTACTATTTTCATAGTGATGATGGAAGCCATCTTCAAGATTTTATGACTTTTACCCTATGTGACAAGTGACAGCTAATATGCTATCTAAATGGGAATCATAATTGAAAATGAAAGGGTCCATAATAATAATTAGTAAATATCATTTCGATCAAATTTATGTGATATAATTTGATTTTTTATAAAATTTTAAAATAAATAAAAAAATCATAGTATTCATGTCATTATAAATTTCTCATTAAGTGTAGTATAAAAAAAAATTAAAATGAAAATTTTTAAATACTAAAATATATTATTCTCTTTTTGAATGGACTAATTAAAAATAATTAATGTCTCATAAACTAAATCGGATGAGATTTTTTCTTTGCCATTTATAAGGTTTTTTTGTCTTCTTTTGAGAAAGATCAGTATTTTTTTTAATTAATTTTTTTCTTAATTTCGAACCTCATTTTATTCTTCACGATGATATACTTTTTTTTTTATAAATATAAGAATAACTTGATATATTCAACGAACGCTTTAAAAATAGGGGCGGATCCACGTAGAGTCCTCCGGGTGTTCGAGCACCCATTAATCTCGCCTTGAAATATATATATATATATATATATATATATATATATATATATATATATATATATTGGTATAGAAATGAAGAGGTATTTGTATAAAATTAACATAGAGCACCCAGTGAACAAATGATCTGACTAGTCCACTGGTTCTTGAGTGGTGTTTAAGGCTCTTTTATGGTTGTTAAGGTGAGTTTGAATCTCACTTTTAACATATCTTTTTTATATTTTTGACTCTTTATTGAAAAAGGTATCAAATTCATACTCAACAATTAAAAAATTGTGATGCACACGAACACTATTATTAGTTCATTACATACTTAAAATAACAAGTCCTAAACGTAATAATTTTGATACATGCCAAATGAGATTGGGTGCGTAAAGGTGGTTTATTCTTTAATTATAGTCACGATAAATGTAAATTCAAGATTTTGAATTTTCCCTATGCGACAGGTGGCAACTAATCTTAGAAAGAAAATCAATATTGAAAAGGAAAGGAACAACAACATTATTTCCTATATTTACAAACGACATTATTATATATGATCTTATAGTTATAAAAATAGTATTCATTTTCGTTTCAATTTGTTAGTTTATTTTTTAAAAAAAAAATTGGTTTAAAAACATATATTTTTTGGGTATATTTTAAATTTAACTTTTCACATGCTTAAAATCACAAGATTAAAACACATTTTGATACATTCTACTTATCTAATCATAAAATTAAAAATATAAAAATAAAAAATCTGAAGTTCGTGTCAAATCAAAACATGAAAAATAAATTAAAGCAGCTGGAATATGATAAAAACTCTTTCTAAAATTATGCGCCTAATAAAATATATGTTATGTAAATGAAATATCTCATAATTAGGGGGTGGTGGGGTGTGCGGGGGTGGGGGTCAATCAACCTTAGGTAGACGTGGCATATTCGATTTGAATCATAATAATACTCTAACAAATGAATTTCAAATGAGGTACAAGAACTATAGAATTAAAGACTAAAGAAAAAGTCTACGCTAGCATTTAATATTTCAAAATGATCAAATTTTCTAATTTATACCTTTTCTTTTTCAAAGTTTAATTTACATTTTTACTGATAGTTATTTTTATTAAGGAGGCGTGAGAGATTGATTATAATAAAAGTTAATTGAGCTCAAAGTTGATCAAAAAAGAATTGATCAGAAAAATTTTTACAATAAACTGTGATTATTATAACTCTAGATAGAAAGATATGAAAATAAAAAAATTAGACTAAAAAATTATCAGATAGTCCAGTATTGTCGCATTTCAAGTAGGACAGGCCGCAGGGGCTAGCCCAACCTCATCTTGGCCTTATATTAATTTTATATATATTATATAGTTTTAAGATAACAATTTCAAGGGTCTAGACGTAATTTTGATATACATGCCAAATGAGATTGGATGTATAAAGTTGGTTTATTCTTTAATTATTCTTCTTCGTCGTGATGGAAGCCATCTTCGATATATAATATATAATATATAATATATAATATTCACTTATATAAATTCAAGATTGGGACTTTTCCATTGGTGACAAGTGACAATTAATCTTAGAGAGAAAAACAGTATTGAAAAGGAAAGGGGCAATAATAGTACTTCCTAATTATTAGTTTTTAATATAGAAATCCTTTCAACTTTTAATTTTCTATTTCATTTTTATTCACATTACTCTTATAGGCTATAGCTATTAAAAAAATATTATAATTATATTTAATACTACAAATTTTAAAGGGGACAAATTATCTCAACAATAGATAGATGTGGCATATTCGATTTGGATCATAATAATACTCTATATGAATTTCAAATGAAGTACAAGGACTATCAAATCAAAGGCTAAAGATAAGCTAGCATTTTACTTTTTATAAATGATAAATTCTCGAATTTATATATTGAGGTCGGCAGGCAGAGGTAGATTGGAAAAAAACAGTGGAGGTAATTATTAGATAGAATATGGTACTTATAACTTTAGCCTATTGAAGATATAATTCTATATAAAAAGATACTGAAAATTGGAGATTAGAATAGAAAATTAATAAAAAATCGAGTCTTGTCACACTTTTGGTGAGAAAAATACTGTGCTAGTCCTATTTACTCTCCATCTTACCAGTAGTATAGTATTTAATTAATAATCGCAATTCTTATTCTTTAGCATACATGTTTTATTTTTTGTTGCTTCATTTATTTATAGTAGTATGTTATCATATTTTTCTTGAAATTCTACGTTGAATAACTTATCTTGACGAACAATGTACCTATCAAATATAATTTTTTTCTACTCACAAAGATAGGCAAGATTAAGGTCTGCTTATATTTTATCTTTTCACACTCAGCCATTTATCGAAAATATATTGTAGTTTTTAAAGTGATAACCCCCCCTCCCCAACTCCCTCCCCGACATAACAAATGAAAAAATGACCCCTTAATCTATACACTTGGATAGGAGAATGTCGACAAAAACTGAAAAATGATATGGGGTATAATCAAAAATCCAATTGAAGAAGAGGGGAATCTCCTGGTGAACATTTGTGTTTATTTATTTATAATATAATATATAACAACAGCAAAGAAAGTGAATAAAAATTAAAGGCGGGATGACGTGAAAATCTTTGTACTTGGCTCCGTTTGTCAGTTGGATCCTCTACTCATCGCTTTGCCACTCAAATCCTTAAACTCACCAGAACACAATATTTTAAACCATTTTGACCATTGACCGAGAGCTTATCTGACATTAATATTGGTGAGTTAGAAATATATGTGATTACACGCACTTGAAAGCGAGTTAAAATAATATTTTACTTTTAAAAAAAATCAATTTAACAAAATTAAAAAATAAGATTTATCTTCTTCAACCCTTCTTTACCCACACCCACCCTTTCTTCTTCTCCACCAGCCCTCTCTCCTCAACCCCTCACCACAACCCTCAACTTTCTTCTTTCTCCAGTCCCACATTCACTCTTCTCCGCCTTTTTTTTTTTTAATATACAAATCAGTAGCCTCAACTTGTTCTAAAAATTTTCATTTTTTAGGTTTAAAAATTATTAGTATCATTCTTTTATTAGACGGTTTCGACGAGGAGATGTGGATAATGTGAAGGATGATTGTGATTATTGAAAATTTTAAAACTCCATTGATAAGCTTGAAAAAGCTTAAAAAATAATAAATGGGTCTTGTGAATTTGTAAAATTAATTAAAAAAATTTATTGGAGTTCATTGAGTTTGTGTTGGTGAACTTGTAGTTGAATTTATAAGTTAAATCAAGAAAAAATTGATCTAATGGGTATAAATCTAGTGCTCAATTTGTGACAAAATATGAAGAAGAAGACTATTTGAAAAGTTTAAGAAATTAGAAAATTGATCTATTTGATTTTTTTAGCACTTAATTTCGCATGTGGCACTAAAAAATGATGTGAAATTCCACCTATAATCGCGTTCATTACACGCATACTGACCGGAGGAGAAAAGGGCTTAAAATATTGTATTCTAATGGGTTTAAGGATCTAGTTGGCAAAGTGATGAGTATTAAGGTTCAACTAACAAACGGAGTCAGGGTCCTTCATATCATTCCACCAAAATTAAATAAAAAGACAAATTTATATGTACCAAACAAGTCTGAAACATTATTTCAACTCATCAAAAGCTCTTCTTGAAACTAAACTCTAAATTCTTCAAGAAATCCAGAATTTTCAAAAAAAAAAAAAAGAGAGAGAGAGGGGAATTTTTACAAACTCGTACATCGCGATCCTGATTGTTATCTCCCATGAAAACTGAACTCAGTATTTTGGACACGAAGAATATAATAATTTCTATGATGAAGTCATTAAAAGCTCTTCTAATAATTCAACTCCCAAGTCTTCAAAAACAAAAACATTTTCTAAATTTTTATTGTTCTTCTTTTTACTACTTCTCTTGTGCTTGACTCTTCTAGTTTTATGAGTAGCTTTTAAAACAGCAGCTGGAGATAATCCATCTTTACAAGAATACTCAATTTTTTCAAGTGATTTTTTGACATCTTCAATTGGAAAATTGAGAAGAGACCAAGGACCCCTCATTGATAATGCGGCTTGATCATAAGCTAAAGCAGCTTCTTCAGCAGTATCAAATGTTCCTAGCCAAACCCTAATTCCATTACGCGTTGAATCCCTAATTTCTGATGCATATTTACCCCATGGCCTTTTTCTAACTCCAATATAATGCTTTTGTTGATCATCTTCTTGTTTTTTCTCTTGTGATGTTACCTCTTCTTGATCATGATGACTATTGTGGCTACTTGCTTTTGATGTTGTTGTAGTAGTGTTTGAGGATTCTACAACTATATCTTGATGATTACATGGTATAATTATTGGTGGATATTCATCAATATCAACAAATGGATCATTGAAGAAAAGATCATTACTACTCCATGGTGATTGATCTTGGAAAAACAACAAATTGGAATGTGAAAATGAAGTGTCTATCTCTAGTGGGCTTGAGTTGCTTGACATCTTTTGATTTTTGGTGTTTTTTTGGGTTGTCAAGAGACTCTCAAAGTTGTTGAGTAGCTTTGATTATTTATATAGAGACCTCCACTATTGGATGAGGACAGAGAAATAGTGATGTCCCCCTCCTACCCCCTACCCCACACCAAAAAATAAATAAATTAGAATTAACTAGGAGTGAAATCGTTAATCATCACTAAATAACTCGTAATTAACTAACAAAGTTAATATTTGTGATGATTTATCGTTAATTCATGGCTAAAATAAGATTAATAACAAATTTTAATGTAATATTTTGTCGGTCACTAATTTCTGCTCTTTTTAAAAAAGATATATAGTGATTTGCCTAGAAAGTAGAGATAATTATAAAATTTTAATTCTAGGACGATAATCCCTTGCTTCTTTAAAAGAAATATTTATGATAAGTTCTAAAAGTATTATTATAATGAGAATCTTAATAACTTAATTGATTGGCTACTTGAACTTTCTATCTTAATTATTAGTGAGTGTTCGATTCTCCTCCTAATCCCCACCCCATTTATCTTTCTCCTACCACAATTTTTTTTTATTTTAAACTTTTTTTTAAAAAGAGTGTTATTATAATCGTTGGTACTTATTTGAATGAATCGTGCATGACATCCATAATAATTATTAGGGTATATATCATCAAAGAGTAAAATATGAACTTCAAAGTTAGAAAGTTTTCAAATATTAAAAATGTATTGGTATTAATTTAAGAGCCAACTAAGTATGCCTTTGTCCCACTTAGGAATTTTTATAAAGATGGTGGATAAATATGACAATTTTTATTGTCCAAGATATTTTTCACCTCTTTTTCAGAGTTGATCCAATCCCATCCTATTTTTTTATTTTATAAAAGAATAAATGACATACTATTGAACATGGCTGGTGTCTTTTTCATTAATTGAAATATATATTAAAAAAATAGTTTATAGGATGCTGTGTAGGTCGTGTGTGAACCCTATGAGAAAGACAAGACTACACCTTGGCCAAATTTTGATGTCAAATTTGTACTAATTTTCATGTGCTTGAGACAAGTGGCAATAGCTCCTTAGCCATCGTCAAGAAATTCAAAGTCCCATGAAATGATTTAAACTAAAATCGAGTCGAGATTTAAATCTTATGAGTTTTGAATTTTAAAATAACAGTATAATATCATTTTTTGAATAATTGAGTTCTAAAGTATACTTATTTGATTGAGTTTTAAATTTTTAATATAAATATGAAATTTCGATTAATATTATTGAATTTGATCGAACACGTACATACGTAAATTTCTAATCCCACCTTTGATAATTTTCACGTGCTAAAGATAAGTGGCAATGGTTCATTAGCCATCGTCAAGAAATTTCAAAAGTCCCATGAAATGAGTAAACTTAAATAGAATCGGAATTTAAATTTTATGAATTTTAGATTTTAGAATAATTATGTTGTATATCAATTTTTGAGTAATTGAGTTTTGAAGTTGATTTTTGTACTTAGTTGACAGAGTTTTTAATATAAGTATAAAAGTTAAGATTAAGATTATTGAATTTGATCGAACATGTACCTAAATTTTAATCCCGCCTTTGATAATTGTCACGTGCTAAAGATAAGAGGCAGTGGTTCCTTAGTCATCATCAAGAAATTCAAAGTCTGATGAAATAATGATACCAAATACAAATAGAGTGGGGATTTGAATTTTATAAATTTTCAATTTTAGGATAGTGATATTACATATGAATAACATATGCATGTATTTAATGACTTCGTTAATATAAATAACATTTTTGATAAACTAAATTATGGTATTCGATCAAATCTTTGTTTAAGAAATAGAAAGATTTTCACCGCCGACACGATATTCATGTTGTTAGTGCGAGCTTCCTAAAAAGCTAATCCCAAGTCAAGATCAACATAACATAAAAAGAACGATTCATTGGATATAAATTAAAATTATTGAATTCGATTAAATACGATGTAACTTTCTGGTCCCACTTTTAATTTTATGGATTTGAATCCAAAAAATGTTTCTTCCATAAAGAAGACGTGTCAAATCAATTGTGTCAAATTTTTCTACGCAAGATTGTTGAAGCGCAACGAGATTGCTAAATGTGCAAGAAAACGAAGTGCAGCCTTAATTAGTTTGACCAAAGAAAATAATTAATTATATGTATGGACGATATAAAAAAATATTTTAATAATTAAATTATTTTTTATATAATTGATATTAATTACAGTAATTGATTCTTAAAGTTATGTACACTGAATTATTTAATTAAATTATTTTTTATATAATTGATATTAATTACAGCAATTGATTCTTAAAGTTATGTACACTGAATTATTTAATTAAATTATTTTTTATATAATTGATATTAATTACAGTAATTGATTCTTAAAGTTATGTACACTGAATTATTGATATTGTTGTTGGTTAACATATTTATCAGTTAATTATTATAATAAAAATTTATTTATAATTATCTTATAGGAGTAAATAACAATATGACTATGTAAGACAAACTTATTTTACCGATGAGTGTTGTGGTAGAGTGATAAGTCTCATTCATTCTTAATTGAGTCCTCTTGGATATGAAATTATTTTGTTAGAGAACGTTTTACCTCCAATGTGAAACGTTTCAGAGCATATCCAGATTTAATTGGACTCTAATGTGAGTACCAAACACCGGATGAAAAAATTTTAAATTAAAAAAAAAAGACAAAGAGGTATATTATTTTATTATTTATCAATATTAATATAAGTAGAACTCATACTCTTGGGAAAATGACAAAAGATAATAACTAACCTACTATCTGATTAAATCACCCTATAGGGGTAAAGGAATAATCACATCAATTTCTAGAAGGTTGCAAATGTTTTTGCTAATATATAATAAAAGGAGTCCTCCTCAATAAGCATTTAAATAGAAACTTAATTAATATCCACTAAATTTTATATTATCAAGTAAAGTTTATCAGTTAGATAATTTTATTTATTTTTAAAAAATCTATCCATTATGGGTCAAAATTTATTTATATTGATAATAGATGCTCATTTATAAGTAATTTCGAGTCTTGACATAGAGCATACCTATTAATTGTAGGGTAGATCAGAGGTGGATGCAACATTATAAAATTAAAATTTTATTTCGATTTAATATTTTTTATGTGAAATATAAATTAATATATAAATAATATTTATTAATTTTTAGTAAAAATGAGAAAATAAAAAGAGTTAAAAATTGTACACCGTCATATCAAGACTATCTTTTGAAAGTGACAAAGAAGCTATGCACTTTCACCGAATGTTAATGAAAGAACATCCTTACATGTTAGTCTTATATTCTGGAAAGGGGCGTGAACGTAGCATGTTCTTTTTGAGGATATAGATGGTGTTACCGACGCATCATAAAAGACTTTTTGAAATGCGAAATTTCAGAATGAAATCATTGAGAAAAGGTTCTCCCTTTATTTAATTTTATTTGATGCATATATCAAAAATAGATATTTCATTTTATTTGTCCATTTAGCAAATCATACTATCCTTCGTATTAAATAACTATACATAAAATAGTACTATTCAAAATTAGAATTTCAAAGTGTCATTAATAAGATTAGACATTAGTTTTAAATCTATCTTTAATTAAATTTTTCTTCATAAATGTGTCAAGTTAACACAGATCAAGTAATATAAAATTGACAAAGGATAACACTTGAAAACTCAAACATGATTAAGTCTTTAAACATGTCGATGAATGTTTGTTGTCATCCCCATACTAATAATAGATTTGCACTATAAGTTTGAATATATACCGTGAATTTAAGATTAAAAAATTTAAAAATTGATTAAATCAATAAAATTTAAATTTTGAATTCACTCTGATTTAGAATGCTATATTTTCTCCTTCATGTTACTCTTTTAGTGCTACAAGTTATAGAGACATATATCAAATTTTCAAAAAGTCAATTTTATCTTTGAGATAATGAAGTGAAGCACTAAACCTTCATTGCTACACCACCTAATTCAAGACTTTTTTTTTTATCTTTGGCATCACAGCCTTTTTAGACTTGGACCTACTAATTGTAATTAATTAGAAAGACTTTTATTTAAAGAACAGTAAGCTAAATACTAAGAAGATGATTAATATGAATTATGGTGCAATGATGAGACTATTTCATCTTTAACTAGAGATTTCGAGTTCAAGTTTTGAGTATAAAGGAAATCTCATGGGAAGCGACACTTTCGAATGGGTCCTGCAATGTGCGATCTAGATTTAGTTGGAGCTCCCGTGTAGATTCCAGACATCGGGCCAAAAAAATGATTAACAAGGATTTAATTAAATCCACTAGAAAGTGGGATCATGTTACTAGGTTGTTCTCATGAGACATGACCACAAATCCTTCATAAATATACCCTTCTAGCTAGCTATAGGATTTTATATATTTATATTAATTTATTACTCCTATGATTTAATTAGTGCCTAAAGTCTCAATAGGATCATAATTAATCATTAATTTCCATATGGATGAATTTAGTGTGGTCTAGATTCTAAAATGAGATGGCCACTTGACCAAAACACACCTGCCAACTTTTTCTCTACATAAAGCTGTTTTCACTTTATACTTTTATATTGAGATTTTAAACAATTCAATATAATATAACAAAATAAAACTATATAATTTTCTTTTTCATGAAGAGTAATTAATACTGGATAGCATGTTAATTTCTTTTCTTTGGACACTAGTTTCACTTGTTATTAAGGACAATTAGTAATAGTTATGTCTTAGGTAATTTAATAGCATAAAATTATTTTAAACATTATTAATGTCCATATATAGGTAAATTAAATACAAATACATTAACTTCAAACTTCATGAATCAAATAAATTATCACAAAATTTCAAATTCTAATATGTATAAATTTAAATTCTTGATCCGCTTCATATTCTTATATTGTGTTTACATATAACAAAGACTTCATTAATATAGGTAAATATAAAAGTGATGACATGGCATTTTGTCAACACAAGATAAGATTTCTTGAGATA